AAGTCCTTGCCCTAGTAATTAGTACTTTATTTGTAAGGTACTGTGTTAGTGAGCGATGAATTGATTGGTTTCATAATGATTAAATTATGTGTTTTTAATCAGTGTCCGATAAGACATTTTTCGTAACAAAAAATTTGCTTCAACCTTCACCATGTAGGGTTCTATAAGTAAAACAAATTTGATGTAGGTAATTGATACTTTGGGGGGTTAATAGTAAAATATTTCAGGTATCTATAATTTCTAAAAAGTCGGAGGAAAAACTATATTATATTTGAATGTTTGGATTTTTGCTTTTTTTTTTTATGAATGTTTCTAATTTTTGCTTTCATTATTTGTTGTTCTTACACAAACATTTATAACAATAAGTATTTTTTTATGGTTTTCCTTTGTTTAAAATTTAAAGTTGAGATATAATAGCTAAATTATTATATTTGCTATTATAAGAATTAATAAGGTCCTTTAATTTATTTAAAATGTACTATCATGAATAATTATTATAATATTAAAATAATATTAAAATAATTACACGATTACAAAAATGTTCGTTATTCATCATAATTTTCAATGTCGTCAGTTTAATTTAGTTTCATCTAAATATATTCTTATTTAATATTTTGTTATCTTGTTATGTAATAAATCTAATTTAAATTAATTTAGTTTGGCATAGTACTAATAGATCTTTAAATTTTTAGACCATAGGTTAGATTAGATTATAAGCAAATCTGGGCATTAATAGTTATTTAAAAATAAGTTAATTTTATAAATTGTAAAATAATAAATATAATACAATTATTATTATTGATGGTGCATTAACATATGGTATTGGATAAACATTTATTTATTTTCAATGAGTTTAAAAAAAATTTGATAACTAGGAATTTTTCAAATTGTTTTAAATCAACTTAACTCAGTTAAAAATGATCATTAACTTGCCCAGGCTTGATTATAAGTTTACCTACCACTTTCGACCTTTTGCTAATTTTTCAATTTTAGTTAAGACTGTATGCTTCTCCTTAAAATATATTTTTTTGTTGCTTGAAAAAAACCAAAAAATCTGTTTTTTTTCAGGAAATGGAATTCGATTGGGACGAGAAGACCCAAGGGCTAGTGCTAAGCTCGTTCTTTTGGGGCTACGTAGTCACGCAAATGCCGGGGGGCATGTTGGCCGACACGTATGGAGGTAAAGCCACGTTGGGTTTGGGAATGCTGTTTAGCAGTATCGGTACGATCATCACACCCGTTGTGGCCAGGAGCTATGGGCCAGAAGCACTGATTGTACTGCGATTGATCATCGGACTCGCTCAAGTACCTATGGATTTTGAAAAATGTTTATAGGTTGTACAAATAACAATGGTTGCATTGACGCTGGTCGTGTATAGATAATGAATACCTAGTTATATAATATATGAATGGGTACCGATTAAGTTATTAAGATATACTCAAACAAAATACATCATATTAATGGAATGTGGAATAGGTACCAATAACTATGTTAATAATGTACCACATTGACCCACCGGCCACATACTTTTGAAACCATGTGGGACAAGCACCGCAACATCCTAATACCGAATTTCGCCACCGACCATAAAACATTGTACGGTTATTATATATATACCTACCTAACTGATCCAGACTCCAGAGAGCAGGCTGATGGTCTGGAAGGGGCCATTCATTTAAAACTCATACCATTATTGATAATAATTTATAAATCAAATTATTTGCCAATTTTAATGAAAAAAAACATGGATAAATATCCCTCGAGGTCGAAACTTGGTTCTAACGTTTCGTCCGTCAATAGATAAAAAATCATTATCTAGGTACCTAGGCGGCTAGGCCGACTGTACTGGCTGTTACCTATATTCGATAAATTTTGTAAAAATAATATTATTTTTTATTATTGGGTAAAAATATAATTTTTGAAGTATATAATTTGAATTTATTAAAACCATACAGCTTAGCAGTTGAGTAGGTACTGTAAAATATTATGGTCTGTGGCTTACAATTCAATGGGTACCATATTAATATGTAGGAACATACAACTCCATAGCCCATACGGCGATAGAAGGTATCAAATTTCAATATACCTTGTCTAGTTTTTGTTCGTCAGACTAACTGGCTGCAATTATTATAAAAATACACTTTAAGTAACTCACAAACTCTAATCAAATTTTGAATTAATAGTTGTGTTTTTTATATAATAATTAAGGTTCCTATAATCTACCTACATCTGTTTTTTTTTCATTCATACATTTATAAAATAATTTCATAATAAATCTAGATAATTATTAGTTAATACTTATTAGGATTTGAACTATGTCCTATTGCAATGGTTATTACTTATTACTTATTTCTACATGGGTAATTAAAATAATATTAGGTATGTATAGATATACAGTACACGCTATGCGAATCAGTAGATATTTTAGTAATGATTACTAAATAAATACTTATAAGTTATATACGTTTATGTATTTTAGTCTCTATAGACTAGATTTTATTGTTTGAAAAATAAGTAGGTAGGTAGGTAGTCGTCAACAATATTATTACGCAGCTAAATGTGTTAATTATGATGTCTAGATGTCTTTCGTCTTATAACGCACAAGTGGGTACAGTACTACAGTGGCTCAACTGGGTAAAAAAACTAGGAGGGGAATTTACTTACCAAAATCAAAGCCTTGAGCCCACCCCCTCCCCCCACCATGGCTTAAAACTCATTTTATGGCTGTAGATAGGTTTTTAAACAATACCAATGATTTTCCTAGATAGTTCTGGTAAAAATATAAAAAGTATTAATTATTTAGGTATAGTCTCAAATGTTGTTTGATTTCTTTTATTAAATTACAGAAATTGAAACTTAGTATTATGAAGAATCTTATATATTTTCAAGCCTTAGATTGATTTTTAAAACCAACATTTTTGAATACAAAATAATTAAGCAAATTTTTGTGATTTTAATGAATATTTTTATACAGCCACTGAGCCAATTGAGTGTTATAACAATTTAATTGGTACCTACAATTATTTTAAACTTCATCAATGAACACAGTACGATTTATTATTGCATGTTAATTAATTATAATAGTTTAGACTAAAAATGTACATAATTATAATATCTTAGTTCATATGTTCTATAAAATAAAAATTTTATTTATTGTTCATACATTTTAATTTATCAATAGTGTTTATTTATTTAATAATAAAAATGTATTTTTTTAGGGACCATTGTATCCTGCAATGAGCAGGCTACTCGCTTCATGGGTACCAGTTGAAGAACGGGGTCGTTTGGGATCCCTGGTATTTGCTGGTAGGTTACCCACAAACCCTTGTTTTGTTTGACATGAATTGTATTCATTATGTACATGCACATTTATTCATTTTTAGGAGCACAAGTAGGTAATGTTGCTTCTATGCAGTTAGGTGGATTTCTGATGCGGTACACCAACAGTTGGACCAGTGTATTCTATGCATTCGGAGTGTTTGGAATATTTTGGCTCATGTTTTGGTTCGTATTGATATACAACCACCCAAATCGTCATCCATTTATCAGTCAAAAGGAAAAACAGTATTTGAACAGGGTGATTAACACCGTCGATCCAGAAGATGTTAGTTTTATTACAATAATTACAAACTAATTACATGTAAATATGTAATAATCATCTACTCAATATCTATTACCTAGGGCAAGTTGTCAATTCCATGGAAAAGTATTGCAACATCAGGACCAGTATGGGGATTGATCATTGTTCAGATAGGTCACGATTGGGGTTTGTTCACCATAATTACAGACTTGCCAAAGTATATGAAGTCAGTGTTGAAGTTCTCAGTAGTCGAAGTATAAATAAACAATAATGCAGTATTCTCTATAACTATCATTTTAAATATAACTAATCAATTCGTAAAATGTTTTATTTCAGAACGGCTTATTGTCTGGCTTACCGTACATAGTGATGTGGTTGGTAGCTATGGGTTCGGGTTTCATAGTAGACTCAATGTTGTCATCCCAGTACTTTACAGTGACTTGCATCCGTAAAACATTTGTAACTATAGGTAAATTAGTCTAACAATCAAGAGCTTAATAATTAAGAATTAGATGAATAAAATATTGTTATTACTTTTCAGCTAGTGTAGGGCCAGCACTCGGAATTGTTGCAGCATCGTATTCTGGATGTGATAAGGTGTTAGCAGTAGCTAGCTTCACAATAGGTATGGGACTTATGGGTACTTTTGTACCCAGTTTGAAAGTTAATGCATTAGATCTCAGTCCCAACTTTGCCGGGACATTGATGGCTATAGTGGGAACAATTGGATGTTTGTCTGGAGTTATTGCACCTTATATTGTTGGCATTATGGTTCCAAATGTATGTTACTAGTATACTAATTTAATAGAATTCAGTTTAAAATTAATTTTCTATTTTTATTTTATTAGAGTTCTATGGAAGAGTGGCGTGATGTGTTTTGGCTGTCTGCTGCTATACTAATAGCCACCAACTTGTTATTTTTACAATATGGTTCAGGAAATGTACAGCCATGGAATGAAAAGGCAAACCGCCAGTATAAGAGTAGTGATATTAATAATGAAAATAATACGACATCAATACTAAAACCATTGTAAAATAATAACTCAATAAGTTTTGTACAGTAATAACTTTGTCTTATAATTTTTATACTAATTATACTTAAGATATAACATAGATAATATTTATAATAGTTCATTTAGATCGAACCAAAAGAACAATAGAGAATTTGAAATTTTTAAAACAATCTTAAAAACTTTCCAAAAGGTCCTGGATACCAATAAAGTGTGAATGCAGACTTTTTTTTATTGAACTTAAGCCCGGCGACTAAGGCATTGGCTGTTGTTGGGGTAAGGTTGGTACGGTAGGTTGTTTCTTTTACGATTGTTACGGTAGGTAGCAAACACATGTATGTGTGGCAAGGTTTTTAACTACTATGAACCCGGATGGTCACTAATCCGGGAGCTAGTAGCTGTGGCTATTACACCCAGTCGCATTCTGCGACTGGAAGCAGCCAACGCACCATGCCAAGCCACTATGCAAAAGACTTGTTTATAATGTAAAGTGTGATATTGTACAAGTGTTGATAATTTCAGCTATCAGTTATTATGTTTTATTAGTTTCTTTTTTGTTTAAAGAAAAACAAAAATACACTCGATATTTTTTTATATGTAATTATTAAAAAAATTAAATTAAGTCAGCACTTTTTTTCACAGCACAAGCAACAATTTAAACCTTTTCAATAAAAGCTATTTGTTAATTAATCACATAAGTTTTAAAATATATTTAAGGATTATTGGTATCCAGATCATAAAATAAATAATGAGAATATAATTGACAAAATTTATGAATTAGCAAAATTTGCCATAAAATTAATGTATATAGAATGTTAATAATAATAATTTAACATTACTAAGTACATAAAATAGACATTAAAACTTTCATTCATCATAATTTGTGTCATGTATGAATAAAGAACATTAAATATAATTATATGTAAATATAAATAAGAAAATACATAAAATACATAAAATTAATGAACGCCAGCAACACCTTTAACAGCAATGTTATTGGCATTTTCTCGTTTCACTTTCCTTCTCCTGGATGGATTATCCCTGTTATACTGTACATTGCGATTGAGATCAATTGTATACATTGTGCCACAAATAAGTACATCAAATTTTAGTACATTGAGTTTGTAGTGCTGTTCAATTTCATCAGAAGTTCTCTTATCATATTGCCACCAGCCTAAAATATGGAAAATGAAAAATTATGACAAAATAAGTATACATTACTATCACAATCATTGCAAAACCATGATACCATACCGTTTTTGCCTTCATAAAACCATTGATAACCATCTTCAAGTGTTTCTATTTCTTCGCGTTCAAGAATAATAGGATTTTTGTCAAAATCAATTGGTATGTGTTGGCGACACATTGGACACCTGTTAGCTTGCCGTGCTGCTCCTTTCACACACAAGAAACAAAATACATGACCGCATGGAGTACGAACAGGGAACACAACCGGTCCCAAACATACAGGACACTCATTAAACTCGCTTTTATTATCTATAATAATTTAATGCCACAAAGTTAAGTTATGATTCACATAAGTCACAAAAAACAATTCTAAATGCAGTCTAACCATTTTTCTTGGTTTTTTTCAAGATGGATTTTAATTTGATACCTGACGTTGAATTCTCCTCAACGTCAGAACTTGTTGGCAAGGCAGAAGCAACAGATGCACATGCATCTTCTGGCAATTTGGCTGTACCTAACAACAATGATACAATAATTAGTACACAATTGTTTGTTAAAAATAAATGGAGCTCAGATTTGAAAGCAAGTCCTTTTTTTGATAATAATAGAAAAATAATTTTTATATAAAAAAGTGTTTTGTTTAATAACTAAGACAATTGATAAATATTATTTTTGCCGTTTTGTTTAATTTTCAATTGATTTGATAGTTATATATATGACATTCATTAATTTAGATGATTATTCATGCATGAAATAGGCACCAATAATGTGTGTATTTACGTAGGTGGAAGTAGAAAGAGCATTTTCCTATCTACAAAAATAATTTCAGTCCTAATCGTCAAAGTTTTTCAGAAGAAAATGTTTGTAAATATGATATGGTAGTTTTTTTAAACAAACTAGTAAAATTACATAAATCTATTACATTGTTCAGTTCATTTAATAATTGCTGCTTTATATGAATGAAATTTTTTTTCTCTTTTTTACATTTTATGAGTTTTTTTTATTGATAATTTTTGGCTCAAAATCTGAACCCTAATAGATATTATTACAATTATATAGGTAGTAAATATAATAAGTGATATACATACACACATATCATAACCTATAAACATTGTAGATGCAGACTAACCATTTTTCTTGGATTTCTTCGAAGTAGATTTTTTTTTTGGCACGGGCGTTGGCTTTTCCTCATCGTCAGACTTTGTTGTAGAGGCAGAAGCAGCAGACAACGAGTGACGATCTTCTGACGATTCGGCTGTATGGAACAAAAACAATGATTCATAAGCATACAATAATAGCGATGATTTATCAGTGCTGAATAGTCTGACGAGAATAAAAATGTATAATGAAATTATTATGTAGTTTAAACCATAATATTCTACTCCTTCATAATATTGAAATGTATCAAGTAACAATAATAATAGGATGTATAAACATAGACATTGCTACAACACATTTGAATGTCAATAGTAATTATAATACAACTTACAATCTGGTCCATTCTCTTCGGACGCATTCTCGTCGTCCGCGATCTCGTCCTCGAGACGTTTCAGAGACGCGGCCATGTTTCAGAAACTGTTGTTCGACGATTCGAGTTTTATTTTTTATTAGTTTCCAATTAGTGGTGGTAAACTGCTGTCAAGAGTCAGGACGTCTGGAATTAATTCTGGTCTAGTGCTGCTCACTGCACGTAATTCGTAAATCGATAAAGCGAATAAATGTCAACAAAACTACAGACGAGAAAGTAACCGTTTGTGATAATTGTGTGATAATCGACGACTGTTACCATACACCAAGTAACCATAACCGAATATGTGTCGGAGATGGGTGTGTTGTCGGTGTTATGTGTTATTCACCGCTAGAGGACGCTGGCGTCAACTGCCCGTTGCCGTCGATTCCGCGTTTCGGCGAGCAAGTGTGCAACAGTGTCGTCGGAACGCTGGAGAATTTGTTTTCAAGGGACGAGATTCGTTTATTTTTTAAATAAAGTAATAATATGATAACATCGATATTGTACTATATCTTAAACCGCACTATAGAAGATAACCTTCTGTCATTCGGTCCGTCTGGCTTCTATAAGTATCGACAATCGAATTCAAACGTTGAAAATAAATTAAAACTATAATGTTATTATTCTGCAATTTTAAGGGTAATAAATATGTTTGATCCATTATTACATCTAATTTATACTTTTGTAAAATCATTTTTAACAACTATTAATTTAAGTATAAACATATTGATAACCGAGAAACTACTCATTCAAATTTTGAATTAGGTACATCAACACATACAAAAGAAGAATTTTTTATGTAATACATTATATGAATTTACTGTCATCTGCCGAAGGAAAAAATGGAGGTGAGCATGTTTGATAAATCAACCATTTGCCCTGTACATTGTATGTATAATGTACATAAATATAATACAATTTTACTATATTAATATATTACGAGATCGGCTGTGCCTCAGATCTGTTTATGGATTTAATTGATGGGTAAAAAAGCCATACTCATCAGCCCCTTTAACATCGTGTAATATAGGTAATGTTTCAAACCGGGATTTGAGTCGTCTGAGTCGTTAAGCACACTTGCATATTATGCATATAACTTTATAAGTTGGGTCAAACAAGTGTTACTTTACCTAGTATAATATTTAATAAAAGTACCTACCTTATACAGTGTAACAAAGAGGGCAATTAGGTAATCGCCCTGATGTACAGTATAGCAATCGAAATCTAAGACTTTTCCCCCTTGCCTTCTACCACCAGAACGGATCAATTTCTCCCGGTCAAAAATTAAAATCTTACTTTACACAAAATATTATATTATCAAAAATATTAATTTAGAATTTGTTATATGGTTTATAAAACTAAAAACTGCAGTATCTCTTTATTCTATGATTTTCACCCCGTCGCTATAAGCTATATAGTCGTCATTTAAATATTTTTTTTGGGAAGGTCCTGCCCTCTCCATCGATAATTGTTTATTTTAGATAACATTATAATTTTGAACATACAAGTTTGACACAACATAATTTTTGGCTGAGCCAGGTATCTGATTGGCCAATCCAAAGATTTTTTCTTTTTTATACCTTGTATTCTTAATTTATTATTTAATATCAAAAACAGTGCAGTACATATATGGTCGTGAAGGGTTGATATATACATGAATAAACAAAAATGTATAAAAAATATAATATACGTGCCATGTGTCCACAAAAACAGGGTACACAGAAAAAGTGGTAGCCCATGTGTAAATGATAAATGTTTGATATTAGATAATGCAGTAATAAATAATAATACAATGTAAAAGAGAAGAAAGTAACAAAGCTAACAAGATTAAGTAAAGGTAAATTTTAACTAATAAAAATTTTGAATTGTAGATAAATAAAATAATTGTTTGGAGATTTCTTGAATAAAAAGAAGGAACTGCTTAATTGTAATGATTGAATAAAAATACTTGTATTTATTTAATTTTCTTTAAATACTATTTAATAACTGTTACATAATATAATTTTTTTAGTTCTATAATAATAGCATTTTTGTTTCTGCAATTACTTGTATTTTGCGGATTAACCGCAGAATTCACTTATTCTTGAGGTTGCCATGCCTCTCTATTCCACGGCCAATTGAGAGTTTACTGTATGATTCTGGATAGACGCATATCACAGTTAATCGTTTTTTTCAACTTTTGATCACGAGAACAAGCAAATCGTGTATTTAAATACTCGAGAAAATAGCAAAAACACTTGTACGACCGATGGCGTCGTCGATCGAAAGATGTGTTGAAACTAAATAAGCTCTCCTAAAGCTAAACCCTCTAATGCTAATTGTAGTGGGAGATGTGAGTGCCGCTGGAGAGTTAGATTAGGGGCCCACATTTTTGGTCGAGTAAGTTTTTGAAAAAAATGATTATTTAATACGTTCATCATGAAACTAATCGCTTTTAATTAATGGGTAGGTACTTTGGTGGTTCGGTCCCCAGCCATTAACCAACAATTTTGCACTATTTTTTTTAATTTATTTTATTTCTCGTTTATCGCGATTGACGTTACATTATATTATATTATACTGTTATGTGGTACATGGTTACTTCCCCCCTCCCCCAAATGACCAACTATATTTATTTTTCTACAATTAAAGACATATTAAAATTGAAGATTGAAGCATTTTTACTGCTAGAAAAGACGGTGCAGGCATAAAAAAACACATCATTGTAAAATCAATACATTCATCTCACCGCTGAGAATCTAAAATATAATGAACAATTAATGTATTCACATAAGTATAGTTTATAGTTTATACATACCTAATACATGGGTATCATTACAATATTGCAATAAACAAATAAAAAATTACATGTATAGTTTGCAGTTTCTACTAAATATGGGGTTACGCCAGACGACGGTATTGCTATAATAATAAATTAATCTCTGTGTTTCCGATTGACAAACCAATACAGTCTTAATGTGAGATAGTATCCAATTTCGATGAAAGATAGAACGCTGCAGCCGAGGAAAAATGACGCCGTACCTCCAAGGGAAACTGAAATAATTGGTGTAAGTAAACAATATTATACATAATATTTTAGTAATATAAATATAAATTTTATTATATAAAAAATATTATCGAAACGAATATAAATAAAGCTTTCGTTATATTATTATACAGTATAATATTAAAATACAAAGTACGTGCAGTTTATTGTGCAATTAGTGTTTATTTGCGAATTACATAAATATTGTGTATACCTACACAGTAGGTATAACTTATGAGTAGACGTCATATTTTATTTTGTTAGACGAAATGGTACGTTAAGGCGACTGCAACGTGTACCTCCTGCATATTATGTATTATACACGCCGTCATCATTAGGCGTATTGTATATTATTTTATTTTATGCAAAAAGCTATATTTTACGAAACTATAATAAAATTTGACAAATGGCTTAATTATATTTAATACTCGTTAAAATTGTTTACGAAGTGTTTTAAATCGTATACGTTCTGGTGGTTTTTTTTTAAATACTATTTATTTCTTTTGCAACCGAACGGTCTTTAACAAAAGCTGTATGGGCGTATGGTTTTAACCTATATATTATATTGTATTACTTATAGAGCTATAATATACAGAGATAATTATGTCTATATTCAATTTACAATATTATGTAGGTATACATGATATATGTAGTGGATTAATTGTGGAGCTCTTGTTCCCTGAATTTTTTACGAGGGGCAAATGTATCATTCACCCTCACCAGATATGCCAACAGTAGAGATCTTTAAATTGTCTAGAATAAAAAAGAGTACAATACAATATTCAACATAGGTACATATTTTATAAGATGAAAATACTTTTTTTCTCAAATAATTGGGTATATTGTATAGGTATTAAGTAAATTTATTTCATGTTTTCACTGTTGTATAATATCTATATGTTGACATATTGTTAACGTCATCGCATTACCTAGGTTACAAAAGTAACCCAATAATATTATTTCATAAATTATATGATTACAAAACTACCATCACATTATTTTTTCTAAACAAGTAATAAAGTATCTTTTTTGAAGGAAACCATTTATGAAAATAGGCACTTAATATTACATGAGGATTTGGCCGTCACATTCATGGGTACCCGATTTGTTTCTAAGCCATATAAAGCTAGTTTTAATAGACCTGTGTAAAAACAAACAATTAAATTATGGTGAATAAATAAATTCCTCCCCCCCCCCCTTCATACACCTAGTATTTTACCCAGTTACGCCACCGCCACTATCTGTAAGATATTACATACATACATCCATCGCCTCCATATTATACGGTGTTATGCGCTCGAGTTTTACTGAGAAAATATACACCATATGCTACTCTGCATGATCAATTACCGACGGATTTATGTCCAACAACGTATAAAACGATTTAGTATGGATTTATATAATATTAAATGCCTCTGCGTCGGTAAAATGTTACGGACACAGCCTCATCTCGGGCATCGCGTGACGGAATAAACGTTTTACGTCTTTCATTATTTCATGCACCGCCATAAAAATTAAAATTAAAATTAGTATTTATTATTATTTCATAATATTTAGTAAAATAACCACTGGGCACTGAGACGCGATATATTATATTATTGTAACACATCTGATATCGCAGTGACTGCAGTAACACGGTAATCGGTAAAAAAAAGTCGTGGGAAAATAATTCTGATTAAAAAAAAAGTTCGGACTCGTTTTTGACTAAAAGTCTGGAGTCTAGACAAATTATGCACAGAAATTCTGAAAATCAAAATTATTGTTTTAACATCATATTATAAATTAAAAAATACAATGGAAATCTATACTAGGTATAAAGGTATAATTATATAAATCTGATGGAGGATTGTATATCTAAATTAATTTTATTATAATCATATAAAACCAATATTCTTTAAAAAAAAATATATACATCTAACAATAATATTAGTAAATTTGAGGTAAATCGAGACTGCCCGGAATAGTAATAATCAAATATAATAGTACCATTATAAAGGCAAATTAAATACCTAAAAAATATATTTTAATTATTTTTTTTTAAATTTAAATTTTATGAATTGAATAATTTATATTTTGTACTTTTTGTCCAGCAGAAATGAAATGTAATCGGATTTATGGTTATTTGGAATTGAAAAATCATTCGGAAAATTACGATTTGTCCGAAGTTAAATTCTGGCCTGATATATACCTCTATACATTTACCAGCACCTACATTTGTAAGTATGAAAATAGTCCTTTTAACCATGATGTAGATAAAAATCTATCTGCATCGACTGCATATGATTTTAATGTATGAATTTTAAATTAATTGTTTGGTAACTTTTTATCGTCATTAATTGTATGGTATAAAAATTTAAATAAACGATTGTATTATGGGCGTGTCATTCTGTTAATGTTTTTCAATATAGCCAATCAGAGTAGTTGTTGGTTAAGTGCTAACTATGTAAAGTAAAAATAAATTGTTTTTTTGTTTTTATTTTTTATTGAAAGCATACTCTAATAACATTTGAGGTATTTTTTTTTACTACCTATACAATTATCAAGTTATCAAGGCCGTCACTAATTTTTTTTATTTTAACCAACAGTAAATCGCTTTCTATGTTTGGATCTAGAAGTATCAATCAATTTTCAACTATATATTATCAGAACTATTGAATATTATGTTCAAAATGTAAAAGTTTGTAATAATAAAAATAATATTACAATAATAATATGATAACGACGTGTCATTAACAATTTTATTAAGGGGTTTAATATAGGCAATTTTGAGAAACAATAATTGCTTAACTAAAAATTGAATAATTGTAAGATGATTTAAGTCATTCGTAATCAGTTTTCTCTATTGTAAATCTACTTTATGGAAGCAATAATTGTGAAATTTGTTTTCAAAATGCCTTATCGTACTAAATTCCAATATCTTGATATAATTATTATTGAAGGTATGGTGCGAGTACAATTTGATAAAAAATAGCTCTATAATTATATAGATATAAATATGATTTAATCCTAATGCATTGCATATTCGATTATTCGAACCGTGCAAAATTTCCTTTGACGCTGACGTAATACCCGAGAATAGTCGTGATTGTTAATATTCTCTAAATTCAAGTGATCATAATTCATGATCGCTATAATGGGAATAAATCGATCGGCCTATGTAAATGGCAAATTTATAGCTGCGCATGTGTAGTATCATCTATGTATAATACGTATAAGCATTGTATTTAAATGTTTTGTTTCTCAACAGTTTAATGCTCCCGGAGTATGCGGGATACCTACCACACGACACACACACGAAATGTCTACATAATATACCTATACTAGTATATTTTATGTAAAAAACACATTACAATTGATATTCCAATAATACAGTTATAAAATGTTAACTACCCGTGTAATCGATGCAATAATGCGATTATGTGCGACTATCGGAATAATTTGTCCTGGTACCTATATGCGTTTCCCGAGTATAACTTACAAAAACCATATACGGCATAAAACATACATACTCTACACACAGGCATACATTCATATAACTACACTATACAGATACAGGTATATATATATATAATATATATTGCATAAAATAATATATTATTATGTACTTTATATATATATAATATATATGTATTATAAAATGTACTGCAGGTACCTTTAGGTCTACGTATCTTGTTATTTACGCTTCCTCGTAAAATTAAATGAATAAACCTTTTTAGTTGTTGCTATATTTTAAATAAATTTATTCAATATTGACTTAGACGGTTATAACGCTAGTGATGATGTATTATAATGTGTTTTTTTTTTAATGTAAAATAATTCATGCAACACAATATATAGTGTATGTAGAGATACACTATATTATATAGTAAAACGACGGGGTGGCAATTTTGAATTGCAGGATTACTTTTTTTTTCTAAATGATTATGTTGAGAAAGTCTTTAGTGATCTACATCATCTTCAATTTCTAGAGAAAGCGAAATATTTAAGTTTGCAAAACTAATTTTCATTATTATAGATACAGCAGCTATTGATATCAAAATGTTAACATTTATTTAAAAAAAATAATTTATTGTGTAGAATGAAGCAAAACAATTTAAGAATTACCGAGTAAATTAAAATTGCCAATTGATTTTATAATTTAATCGTTGTGTCATGTTTAGTTCTATAAATTATATAAATAATAACAACATTATTTTCCATGAATATGTAATTAGAAACATGTTTACATCTATAGGTAGATACCACTACAGTAAATCTCAAGACAACTTTGACAGTAACATATTTTGTACTTATCACGACTAAGTAATTATAAAATAATATTAATAACAAATATATACCTACGTATACATATAAAATATGTATTTATATATTTTATTTCATTGTATTAATTGGATAATGCAATGAATGAATATTTTAAAATAAATAGCAATATCATTATTAATTATTATTTTTAAAACTTGATTTTATTATTATATTTGTCAGTATACTTAAATTATTATTGCAGTTAATTGAAATTCTATGAAGTTTAAAAACAACTAGAACTTACAACAGCGGATAGAACACTAATACATCTAACTCAAGATGTTGAATATGCCTTTGTATTGTCAATATTGTCTTTATTGTATATTTATAATAAGAATACCGTTCATGAACGAATTGCGATGTATATAGTGATGGTCCAAGGCGACAACGATAGAGATCATTCATTTTGAAAAACAATGAACTCACACACACACAAACACACACACACACACACACACACACACACACACACACACACACACACACACACACTCACTCACTCACTCACCCAATAAATCTTCGAAGCTGTAGATGACGTCGCGGCGCAATCGTGTCTTACTATATTTGTCAACGGCCCAGCGGTAACGGATGTCCCACGGCACTGGATACGCCCTGTCATTTACAATATAAAAACGGGAATAGTTATATTATGTGAGAAAATAAGTAGGTAGGTACATGGCTTTAGTTAATTTTTGTTTTATTTGACCACGTATAATATAAGTACGAGTGTGTTACCTACCATGTCCTTTTCGAATTCCTGTCCAAAAACAGTTTAACTTCCTTGCACTGCATCTGGCAATTGCATTCAATCGGCGTCCCGTCATTTTTCTCTAATGTTATCAACATTTTGCTATGAATCGACAAACAACGAAGCCCTTCGATATTGCAAACTTTCATTTTACCTAAAACATAACTCTTACTTTATTCAATGTTTTGACGTATATGACGATTGCTTCCGGCTTAAATTAATAAACACATGAAATTAAAATAGATCATGTATTTATTAGGTATTGTTTTATTCTACAGTTCGACTTCATCAAAAAATAAGTGCTGTGAAAAACCAACATTTGTCCTCTCCTATCTCTTATATGTTATAGCTTAACCTAGTTTCTATGTTGCTACATATTGATTTTATTCTACTCAAAGTGTCTAAAACTTATTTAGACTTAATACTACAGTTTGTTACTTTTTTGCATAAATGTTTTCTTAACTTAATTAATGGTTTTAATATTAATGTTCATGTATTATAACAGCCAACATGTAACAACATAAATGTACCCAGACTTCATGCAAATACATTAATATAAATATACATATATATATAGGTATTATGCTTAATACAACACTATAATATAGTATTTGTTAGTTACTTAACCTAGAACATTTTCTAGTCAATTGTCGAGTTTACGTTGTTTAAAAGTATATAAGTGTGTTCAGATTTTGGTGGCCGAAGGAAAATAACACATTTTCAAATCGCGTCACATATTTTTTTTTCGATGTGAAGAAACACCTATTTTTTATGTAAAATAAAAACACATTATGTACATGATAAAGTAAGTATTAAATTATTTGTAAAAATCAGGTATTTTTATTTTAAAATAATCATTTTAACTAGTCGAAGAACATCAACAATTAAAAACTCATTGTTATTACTTGTTTGTTATCGCCCCGTCACCACGCCGAATAAAATGTATCACCCTGCTTACCGTCCATTCTGCATTGTATTATGTTTTTTTTTTATACCGTTACAAAACTTCCAAATAAAAGTAAATGATAATAATTAATTGTATAAAATCAATAGAAGTCATTGTTCCCAACTATATATACAGCACTTAAATATTAATGCAGATAATATTGACCCTCTAGTTGTTATACTTAAATTTGAATTTATTGTGTGTGGAAAAATGTATGATAAATTTAAATCAAGATTTCTTAGATGTATTGATTTTTTTAATGAAATATCTATTATAATAAATAAATTCAATAAATATAATAACTGCACTTAAAATAATACAATATATTTTATTTATTAAGTAAAACCAACAACGGACAACGGTCATATTTTAATATAATGCTGGTTGGAATGGATAATACAATATATAGTAGACTGTAAATAAAACTTTATTGGCTACAACTAAAATACCACATATCATTATAATATTATGTTTATTTTATAATTTACATCGACAGACGACTGTCTGTTATTTGAATCCAAACGGATGAGTTCTATTATTTTTTTATTTCAATATTATTTTATCGTCAATTGTTTTCATTTTTAGTTAACTATTTGTTTTTTAGTAGTTTTGTTTTACAAAAATTAATTTAAATTTTAAATTTGTTTATTATAATTGCCAAAGTTTATTTTCAGCGAATAGTTATTCAAGTATACATCGTGATAAAACTTATTATTCTTGCGTTTGGACATTTATTCACATCATTCTAGCTATTATATATTCAAGAAAGACAAACAAGATTTAGTTGGATGTACATTGTACAGTGGATTAATAATGATATGTGAAAAAAAATGTTTCTTTTTTGTTAAACGAATATTAAAACAAAAGTGATTGTAGGATACTAAATTATGGGTAAGTTTTGTTTAGCAATGTTATTTTAGAAATTATAAGAATAATATTGTACTATTAGATTACAACTATTAGATTTATTATTAGCTATTAGGTATTTTAATTTTGGTTACGTATACATGTATACGTATTATATTTTATTTGCAGGTATATGATACAGTGTTGAATTCAGTAGACATAAACATATCGATTAAGGCGTGATTACCTAACAGTGTTAAACAATTTAATTTTCTCCACAGATAAAATATATAAGTTAATACTTAAAATATGCAGTATAAATATTTAAAATGTAATGTATTTCAGAAACGCCAATAACCCTAGAAGTTGAGGCGTATATTATGTAAATAATAAAAAATATATATTTATGTTTAATAACGTGGCACTTTACATTTTATTTCTGGAGAAAAACAATTTATTTTTATAAATTTGCATTTTGTATTTATGCCAGATACTGCAATACTCCCATTTATTTTGGATAATATTTTAAGCGTCTTGAATTCAACACTGGTATGAGGGCAATGGGAAATTGTCGGTCAGACGAGTGATAATTATATTTATATTAATTCAAAGTCATAAAACAATTGTCAGTGAGTTTAGCTTAGAATTCACAATTTAAAACTATAAATTATACGTTTCTCTTATTATAAATGC